TTCATTTGCTTAATGCATGCAGAGAATGAGAAGATATATTTAGTCAAGCAGGTCCAACAAGCGTCTGACTTCCTGACAGTTTTCCAAATCGCTATTCTACCATGCAAAAAGGATAATTGTCTGTCTCAAAGAACTTCTCATCTGTGCCTATTGCAATCCAAATGGGTGGTGCAGGGTGACAAGCGGAGGAAGGAAGTTTGTTCTTACAGTTAATAATCACTCAGTCCAAACTGCCATAATTAATTATCCCTGACTCGAGATTCTGCAAGCTGCAGTCAGCTAAGAAAGCCTCAACCCTCAACCTAGCGCCTCACAGTGAAGGAGCTGAATACTGAAACGCAGGGAACAAAGAGGAGGACAGCGATTCAGGAATTCATGTGGTGTTCGCGAATGTTCAGATTTCAGAAAGCTATTTGACTGGAGCAAAAACAGCTCTTCCAAAGCACAGACCAACTTAAGCTCAGTCTTAACAAAAATGCAAACTAAAATGCAAAACCGCCACACAAACTTTGCCTCTGCCAACACGAGTTAGTCATATTTCCCTTTTTGGTCACACATAGTTAAAAGATGATTCATCACAAGGTCACGTGAAGACAAGAAGCACATTGGATAACTACTTTGTTTGTTTAAAACTGTGTTAGGTTTACGTAAAAGTAGCTCTCAGTGAGGGAAACACCCATGTTGAAAATGGGATTCTAAATGAGTTATGAATTGCTTCGTCCTTTGAACACAACTTTACGACTTGTTATCAGGCTGTTCAGTGCAATAACACAAGAGACTGTTATTACACAGCAGGAACCATAATGCTGTAAATTATATCACAGCCTTTCATTTACATTCTTCTGCCAAAGTCAATATTCTTCATAAAACAATAAATAAATACGCTAGCCTTATGCCTTTGCAACAGATTTCATTTTAAGGATTTGAATGACAACGTGTCAAACATGTGACCAAGGCAGGTCACACTCCATCACGTTATTTATCCATAGAAGTCACAAGGATAATACATTTAAGTTTGTCTATGCATATCTGTTTACAGGATCAGTAATGAGTTTCCTGAAGAAAACTGCGAAACTTTAAATCTTATTTGAGCGAAACAGGAGTTAAATATCTCTCGAGGTGACAAATGTTGCATTGGAAAGAAAAATAACTTGTATAATTTTGTTTCACAAGTGTTAGATAACAGCTTTTTTTACTGTATTCTTAAAGTTATGATAGACTCCACTTACTCATACACTCCTATGATCAGGTTTTAAGATGCAAATTAAACAGGTGAAGCTGGTGGACAAAACGGCAAGGAAGGAAATAAAGGTAACCACAAGACAGAAAACACGTAACCCTAATATAAAAACCTAATTTCCTTTGTTGCCCCCTCTAGTAAATATAACTGTATCTATGGATATCCTTCAGATAAATACATCCAGATCAAAGAAAACTGTGGCGTGCAACAACGTTTCCCAGCAACAATTAAATTTGAGAAACTGTCATCTGACACTCCAGACCAAATGGCGAAACAGAAGTCTAAGATTCACTCAACTCACTGTTTGGTTCTGACCATCCTATTGCTCTGCTGAAGGGTCCTCCCTCTTGAGCTGCCCTGGACTTCAGCTTAAGATAACAATTTTTGAAATCTACAGAGTACAGCATAAGTAAATGAAAAAGACTTGTGTCACAGTTTATTGCACATCTCTGCATTTACTCCTAGCGTGGCCAGTCTCATACTGTGAAAGATTCTGTCAGTCCTGCTCAGATGAAACCTTTTCTTTGCTACAGCATTAATGCCAGCACAGACAATAAAAAGCTACAGGGCAAGAGATGGATGAAAAAGTTAAACCGATTTCGGTGACAAAGTGACGCTTGGCTCAGCTGCGTTGATGTTGTGGGATTTCCAGGTTTTGTGAAATAGCAAACATTTGTCTCTGTTCAGTTATAAAGCATTGTTTCAACACATTCAAAATACGATTAGAAATAAATGTGAAGGAACAAAAATAAGAACAACACTGTTTTCTTCAGATTCCTCTGTACGATCTGGAAACACTTGAGCATGTTTTGATGTTTTCTAATTCGCAGCACTGTCACGCCAGTGTTGTATTTTTGGAAATAAGGCAGGATGTGACCTTATCATGTGTGCCCAAGGGTTGTAAAAACAGACCCACAACATAGATGGTCTTTAAAGCATGGCATCTCAATACAAAAGACTGACGTTTTCCTCCTCTTCATCCAGCTCAGCCTCATTCGTTCATTACTGAACCTCTCACTACTGGATGCACAGACATGAGACTGATATCGATTCCCTCATCTGACTCCAGGTAATATTTGAAAACCGATATATTTACCAGAATGCCACGCTGCTCTATTTATTTGTTACCGTTAACACAGAGAAAAAGCAGCCAGTGGAGAACAAACTAAGCATCTCCTAAGTGTCCTGCAGGTCAGTCAGATTTCTCTCCTGTGTTGCTCAGAATTGAAGCCTCCTCACATTAGGTTTACCTGGATACCATTACAGTATTGGCTGGCAAGAAGACAGAACTTATCTGACAGCATCAGCACTTATTGGCATAAAAGCCGAGCCTCCTATCACTCCTCTGGTGAATGAGTTTGCCCCGGACATCTTTTGCTGAAGGCGGTACAAAAATTATAAATGTTAAAGCACACTGTCTCCGGTGAGACTCTCGGTGGGGGGATGATTCCTCACACGGTTTTATACAAGAGCAGCGACATGAATACGATAGTCGCCCTGGCTGCCCACAAGAGATCACATCCCAATCCTGAGCTACTTATGCCATCGGCTGCTCATTACTCAATCCGCGCCTGCTCACGCTCGCATTATAACTGCTGCTACAAACGATCGATGGGGGTCCTCAACCAGGGATTTAGTAAAGATTTGCAAGTTAATCAGACCTTTAATGTCAAAATCCAGGCAAACCTATATTATATCCATGTTCTAATGTACAGCCTCTAAAGTGACCCCGCTGGCTGCCACTCACAACTTAATTAATCCTTTCTACGACTCATTTAAAAGAATCTCGTGCAAAATTGAAAACCTGCTCTCTGGATTATGAACATCGATTTTGTTTACAGCAGAAGCGAACTGACTTGTCAAGCGCTTTCTATTAACAAGTGCTTATTTAAAACATGCTGATGGCACCACTCCTGTAAAAACACTCTATATGGATGTTGTCTTTGAGAGGTGAAAATCCACTGAGAATCCTCTTCCAACTACAGTACTGAGTCTGATCAATTCAACGTTGCTCGAGCCCACAGAGGGACTGCAGAGAGAGAGAGTCTGCTGTATCAGAGCCAAAGCAGCACATTTAATGTGTTTTGAGAAAATCGGTCAATAAAAATAACAATACACATCATTTAAAAATGCCAAACATCTGCCTTAATAATCGGTTGGGCCTATAATTGATCGATCCCTACTCTCGATTATCAGCTGTTCTGTAGTTTGTAAATTGCATCCTGATGGTTAAAGATGCTGACAGAGACTCTCTTTCCATGATATCTCCACGTTCTTTCACTTCAGTTCCTGTCCCCCATTCTGTCTTCTGTCTAGTAATCGAAAAAAATCCCCAACAACTCCATCCATATGATGCAGACTCAGCTATTTCTGTCGTTGCCTACGTCTGCATCTGTGTATTTATAATGCCGGCGGTGTATTTAGACAACACATTGCTTCTACTGAATCTTCTGTGAATACAACAAGGGAGCGGTGACCTTTGACCACACTTTGGTGAAAGTACGACCTGCACAGCGCACCACGAGCATACTGATGAGCTGAAGGAGTTGTGTTTTTGCTTTGAGCACCTCTCTAACCTTTGCTGCTCCGCGTCTAGCCGTAGGAACCCTTTGCCTACAAAAAGAAGAAAACTGCAGCTGCAATTTTTTATATAGGATACCATCTAAAAATAGAGCTCATCTTAGTCATCCTTGCTTGCGGGAGTGAGTCATGACAGCTTGCCCATTTGACAGATACATTGTTATTTCTGTTTCCTAATCCGACAAACTATATGTCAGTGCTCGCTCAGTATGGAGACTAAAAATGCATTCATCAAAGCGGTATGTTCTGTTCTCCCCACGCTGTCAGAGATTGGAGGCCCAGTTGGGATCTGCCTGCCTGCAATATAGCTGACTGCTGCAATTTGGTGCGATGGACGGTAAAAGATTTGGTTTTAAAGCGGGCTTTTTTTTTTTTTTTTTAAAACAGCTCGCTCTCTAATAGAACTGTGAGTTCAACCACACAGAAATAAAAAGTGGTTATCCTCTGATTCAACGTGCGGTTTCATTTCTGCAGTGTTTCCCTTGTGCACTACACTCCAAAAGTGCGTCTACTGATTTGCCCACCAAGTCGTTTACCCTTACAGCTTTACTGCCTGGACATGATGGTCTGTGATGGATGGCAGCATATATACAGGCCAGCGCTTGTAGATGGTGACTCAGGATATAATAAGAAATTGCCTCTTGTGCTGAGGGCTGCAGAGCTTCCCAATGTTAGTGAGCGTCTTGTGGGATTGTAGGGAGGCAAGTCTGCTTTAACTTTAGAGGTAATATTTAGCAGCCTGGTCCCTGAACAGCTTTTGCAGAGGAGTAATTGAATAAGAGCTGCTTTACAGATGAGATAATGTACAGTCAGGATAAGCCTCTACAAGGCTGGAGGAGTCATGGAGACATGTTCAGACTACTAACCCTCTGTGGAGCTGGGTAATGCACTTGAATAATTTATTCATTGTCCTGAATGAACATTACAGGAGACACAAGGAGAAAGTGAAAACATTATTACACCCTCTAGTGTGCGGAAAAGACCAATCAGCATGTTTTGTTTTGCTTTTTTAGCTAAAGTTTACATCAACAGAGGCCGCTCTTTGAGATAACGCAAATTGGTGCCTCAAACGCATCACAAAAGGCTTTGTGTTGTGTTCAAAGAAAAGCCGGAAATCAGCGGCTGCGTGTTGGCGGAGCAAACTAACGAGAAGTGAATTTAACTACACAAGTGGCTTTACCTGGTGAAGCAACGTAGTGTGTCTGACACCGCAGTGGAGAGGCTGAACACTTCCCAAAAGTCTCGCCGTAACTTTGCCGACAATCCGCACCGAAGCCATGGTCGTCCGGTTCAGCTGTGGTCTGGGCTCATACCGCCACAGTGCGCTGCTCCCAGCCCCGGTGCTCCACTTTTTAAAAAAAGCGGCTGTAAAGGTGTGTAAATACCCACAGAGGAGGTGATAGCTAAAGGACCGAGGCAGGAACACAGAGCATTTCCTCCTGACAACACCCGCTCAGCGCCTCACTCCGCTTCCTTTCTCCCCCCCTTTTTCTTTTTTCTCTCTGCTCGGTCTGTTTTGCATGAAGCAGCCTGCGGGAATGTGTCTGCCCAGCCCAGTGAGGAGCTGGCATCCGACACACCACACCCCCACACTCACTGTTTATCCCGAGCAGCTCTAATAGCTAACAGACACTGGTATGTGCTCGTTTACTGGGACCTCTTTTAACACAACTTTAAAGGAAAGGTCCCACATGGTAAAAAAAACCCCACGTTTATTGTGTTTTAGGAAGTTGGAGGTGGGAATGTGAAGGCGCCATTCCTCTACGAATTTGTCTCAGTTGGTAAGTAGGAACTGAGGAACTAATAGTCCCCTAGTTCAAAGTTAAATATGTGCCCTCCCTACCTGCTGCTGCTGTCAAGGTGAGTCTTTCAGAATGAGCAGCTGTCCGCCGTGTTTGTTAGCTTTGGCTAACTCTTGTAGCAAAACACTACATGTTCTGCTGCAAGAGTGAACACAAGAGTCTTAATGCACTTCCAGCATCTGAGGAATGACTAAATAAATAAAATAATAAATAGTAATAAATAAATTAAATAAATAAAGTATTTTTCATTTCATTTCATTTCATGACAGTGTAGCAGACTGACACTGGAGTATGAAAAGCCCATTAGTGTTAGCATGTTGTGCGGCTAATGTGGCTAACGGTACAATTAGCTTGGGTCATGTGGGCAAATGATCAAAGCTAATGCGGCCATTAGCTTTGGTTATATGTGGGAATCTGATCAAAGCTAATGTGGCTAATGCTACCATTAGCTTTGGTCATATGTGGGCATGTGATCAAAGGTAATGTGGCTGATGCTACCATCCATCCATCATCTTTACAGCGCTTAATCCTCACGAGGGTCGCGGCTGGAGCCTATTCCAGCTGACTTAGGGCAAAGACAGGTCACCAGTCTATCGCAGGGCCACACTTAGAGACAGACAACCATGCAAACTCACATACACACCTACGGACAATTTAGAATCACCAATTAACCTCAACATGTTTTTGGACCTTGTGGGAGGAAGCTGGAGAACCCGGAGAGAACCCACGCCCACCGGGATGCGAACCGGCAACCTTCTTGCTGCGAGGCAACAGTGCTACCAACTGCGCCACCCTGCAGCCCTGCTGATGCTACCATTAGCTTTAAACATATGTCCACAAGTCAGAACACCTTGGAAACTTTTACGCCGAGAGACATTTAGAGATGGTGGAAACTTTTAAAACCAATTTTAAACTAATAAATAAGTTCTGGCTGTGTTTTCACTTCACTTGTTATGCAATGAAAACTCAGCCAGCCTTTACTTCTGTTTGCTCCTTTCCTGCTCTCTGTGCTAACATACGCTGCATTTTTATACAGCTGAATTCCCAATAAAGGTGTTTTACATGTTTTGCTACAACCAGCTTGTCACTTCAGCGCTATTTTTAAGCTGCGTATTTGCATCGCAAAGCTACTGATTTTATAATCACGACATTGTCTGACACACTCATCATACACAAAACAATGGCTGTGTTTTGATATTTCCATGCCAAATTGCTGAGAGAGGAAGTTAGAAGTGACGGGGACTTGTGCTGAAAATAAAAATGTAGCAACTGACGCTGATGGACTCAGCACTTTGTTCTCAGTGTTTCGACCGCAGAAACTATGCATCTGTGTGCAGTAGCAGTTGCTGAGCATAAAAACATTAAAATTGTAGCATCACAATGACATGTGAGAGGATTTCAATAATTCATGAAGTTACTATCAATTTGGAAACGGTATTGATCCTGTTGCTGTATGATAACTACAGATGTCAAAGAAAAGCCGTCAAGGTTTTACGTTAGTTTGTTTGGAGCAAGACAGTGTCTAAAATAGATTTCAAGAGTTGCATGACAGCTGGTAATACTGTGATACTGAAAGAGGTGGAGCTGAGCTCTGGTAGAGTGTGATATGGATATTGGAGGTGGAGCTCAGGCTGAGTGGGCAGTTTAACTGCTGAATATTAGCACACTACAAGGTGCAATCAAAAATTAGTTAGACCTAGCCTATAAAAATCAAAAACCATACCTGATAAAGGTTTGACTGCCATCTCTATTGAAGTAGTCTCTGCAGCGATGCAGCACTCCTACGCTTCTTTTATTCTTTTAACATTTCCTGGAAATCCCATTATGTAAATGTGCTATCTGTGATGAGCGCTGAATCTTCTGAACTCTGTCAGAAGAGCGACCATTCAACTTGAATTCCATTCTGAGTAAGGGGAGAAAATCGCAAGGATCCAAACCTACCAAACAGGGTGAGTGTGTAGGGATGATTGTGTTGTTGTGGCCAAAAAACTACACTGTGACCGGGTACACAGTTCATTAAAGCATTCACATGGCATCGCACCACAGTTCAGATCATTTGATACAAAAGGTCTTTTTCAGACACCTCAGGATGTTACAGTAGAACTCTGCCTGGACTGTCCAACCCTGGAGGACACAACAACAAAGCATGCTCCTGGTGTGCTTCTGACTTGATGATCCGTCTCAGATCTTGGACTTCTACTGCCAAACCTACTGTTCCTTCTCTTGATGGTAGCTTCTTATCATCAGTGATGGTCATCAACATGAAGGTTTGGCTCATCTGGGCTGCTGATTGACACACAATGTGATGTTTGCTCCATGCTCCAGTTTGAACTCTATGGAGAAATTGCAAATGTGACTCCATCAGTGGTCACAAAAATGTGTGAAACACCGATCCTTTTGTTGAATGGGTGGTGTCATCCGGTCTCTAGACCTGTGCCAGTTACTGCTTTCATATGTTACAAGCATGTGACGATGACCGACTCCATGCATGAGCCCCCTGACCTTTCTGATCAGCCACCTTGCACTTAAAGCAGATGTGTTGACTTTAAGGGACTTTATCTCCACCAAAGTAAACTGCACTTTTGTTTCTTACTTAGCAAAGTCTACTTTTGATAAATGGTTACCTGCTTTTTGTTGTGTTTGCATTTTTAATAATCTCTCAGCAGGTTTTTTGGAACAAAATGTCCAAAATTAGATGCTGGGCTGCTTTTTTGAAAAATGTAACTAATTATGTATTACTCTATTAGAATTTACACAGCAGCAGAAGTAATTACGTACATTACTCAGTACCCTTTAGCTGCAGCACTAAATCCCGGATTTGTTGGTGTGAAAATGGACTGGCAGGACAAAACTGATACCAACCCTCCCATCCAGAAATAATCCAACCAGCCAAAACAAAGAATTATTAGTATTTTAAGTGATAATTAGGATAAAAAATAATCAGAAATACATTACAGCAGAACACTTGTTGATACACAGCACAAAGATACAAAGATAATACGGCAGCTCTGACTCTGCTGGTCTCACTTCAAATCCAGCTGAAATTACAGCTTGATTGTGTTGCTTGATGCGTGATAAGTTTACTCATGATGTATTTTACTTTCAGAATAAGAAAATGTAACTTTGTAACTGTAGGAGCCTGTTAAGTCTACAAAGCTTTTTTTAAAAATGTGGAAGGCTTATGTTAGAAAAGTAAAACCTCACCAGGTTTTGACTGAGGCACTGAAATCTGAGAGGGTTTTTAATGCTTAATGTTGGACTTTGTGAGGAACTAGACTGACTGTGCCATAGTTAATTAATAGACTGAGCTCATTTGAGGAAATGTAAAAGCACATGAGGAGGAGGGAATTTTTGTTATAATGTTGAATTATACTGAAGCACAGGGAATGCACATTTTAATTTTCATTCAATGTTGAAGTTTTATTCTTTTTTTCTGATTAAATATTTGACTGAGATTTATTCACAATTGCCCCTATATTTGTAATTGTCCAGTTCAAGTGCCAAAAGGATTATTTTTCAACTTCTTCATCTTCTTTCCTTCTATTTAATGAAGCCTTGACAGCGTGGTCAGTATCGCAGTAACTTGCTAATGACTTCTATCTTCAAGTTCGACCGCACAATGAACAAAATGCCAGTCTGGAAAAACACATTTACAAAGCCTTTGATTGTGGCGGCTGCACAGTCTGTTCATTAATATTTCAGCATATTATAGATAAGGTATTCACTCACCAAGCTGAGGCTGGTTAATAAGATCTGCAGCTGAGTGCAGCAGACACCATAGAATCTGATTGTCTTTTTACCTGCTTAACTTAAAGCCCAACAAATCTGAATTACCTCCAGCGTGCACTTGAAACCTGTGTTCTGCACATGTTGCATCTGTTTTGGAGAAGATTTTTCATCAGGAATACATACATTACCACAACAAACTGATGCAAATTGAGATAGCCTTTCCTCAAACCTCCCCGGTTAAAAAACACAATTATTCTACAAAGACACATTAGATGCAAAGGAAAGGAGGTAGTATTCTTAAAAAACAGTTGTTTATCGATCAGACTTTCCTTCCTCGTGCCATTCACTCCACAGCAGCGCACTGAATCCGGTAAGATTGGTGAAAGCCATCAATACTCCCCCAGAGAAGAGGGACGACAGAGAGGCTGGATGTAATCAATATGTTGCTTTTGGCAGGGAGGTTGTTTTTTTTCTCTCTGAAATTAACCATTTCTTTGGATTTTGAATTGAGGGAGAATATTGCCTTATTGGTCTACGCAGTAAAGTTGTTAGAAGACTGAACAAGACAAAATTTTCTGCCAAGTTAGTCTTCTTTTCTTTCTTGTGGGCCATTATCCATCACCTGCTGCCAGATTTATTCCCTCATGCTGGCCACAAGCTGACGGAGTAAGACTGCATTTAGCTCTCCTGCTGAATGAAGTTACTGATGGGAGGTGTGCCAAGTTTTTTTTTTTTTTTCAGTGTGCTGTAGGCAATCCAGAGAAGCTGCACTTTAATAACAAAATCTGCTTGCACAGATTTTTGTCTTGAAGTTAATTATTGAATAGCAACGGTGTGCTTGCAGTAGTTCTGTTCTTGTGATGACAAAACATCAGCACCTATAAATCAACACATCTTTGTTTAAATTCTTGATCTGATTGTTATTTCACTCATTCAGTGCTTAAATATTAATGTGCACTTTAGCGTTCATTTGTTTTCATTGAC